TTGTCGTATAGTTGTTGTATAGTCGTATAGTTGTTTCTCAAGGTGTCGTCGTATAGTTGTTGTATAGTCGTATAGTTGTTTCTCAAGATGTTGTCGTATAGTTGTTGTATAGTCGTATAGTTGTTTCTCAAGGTGTCGTCGTATAGTTGTTGTATAGTCGTATAGTTGTTTCTCAAGATGTTGTCGTATAGTTGTTGTATAGTCGTATAGTTGTTTCTCAAGGTGTCGTCGTATAGTTGTTGTATAGTCGTATAGTTGTTTCTCAAGATGTTGTCGTATAGTTGTTATATAGTCATATAGTTGTTTCTCAAATTTACACAATGAGTACACAATTATTGCTTCAAATTCGAATTGCTTAATAAATAGAAAATAAAAATACAAACCAAGTAGTAAACAAATCGTTGGTCTCTTTTTAGTACAGCAAGACCCCCTGTTCTCTGCCCTGTAGAAGTAAGACAGCTATATCTCAATAACAATCCAATCATTTCCTCAGACAATTATTTCAATGGCCACATTTACATTGAATTTAATTAATGCAATTTATAAATTAAATAACATGCAATGACATGATTAACATCAACAATAATTCAAAAGCCTGTATTAAATAACACGGAAATAATGCCTTTCCCCTCTTCTGACCCTCTCCCCCCACAACAAACCCCCCTCCCTCTCCCCCCTCCCCCAACAAACTTACATTTTGTTGTTGATTGATAACATTATTTCCATGGCATCCCTGCCTTTAGTTTGAGTGCAGTGGAAATYGACTATCTAGCAGTGTTTAAAAAAACCTCATGTGCAAACTTACTCTGAYGCAGAAGTTCATCAACACCACCATACAGTTTCTTGAACATGACAGCAATACCTTTCCCCATCTTGACATCAGCACTGATACAGTGAGCCAGGGAATGGGTTTCAGGACATGTAAACAAGTCACCATAAACCTCATTGACACATCCTACTTGTTTCTGTCACCAAATATACACAGTCAATCTCATTAACATTGTACAGTTGTAAAGAAATAATCTAGACAGCACCAAAGTCATTGAGTCACAAAAAATACAATGTATACCACTTGCTTATTTTTCAT